AAAAAAAAGCATCAACCAAGATGCAAAGCACAGTAGATTACTACACTTTGGAAGAGTCTGCATACATCAGTAGAACAGCAAAAGCCCAGGCAATGATGATGTAATAAAGAATTGGGTAAATAAAAATTCGGAATAAAAAGTTTAAATAATGTGTAATTATAACTAATGAAAATATGGAATAAGGAATTCTCCTCCAGGTCGAGGTAGAATTCCTTTTCCAAAGTCACGGATTGCAAAAGAACCCCCCCCAGATAACAAGCTTCAGCAGGCTCATCAACTCGGAGGAAAGGACAGGACACAGGCCATCATAGAAACAAAAGAACTAGCCTGAAAGTCTACCTCCGGACAAAGGCAACGCCCGGCCGATTTCGGCCGGAGACCATCAAGCAAGACAAAAGGGACGAGCCTCAGGAAAATGGTCGTTGCCAGAATCGAACACCACACCCGCCAAACCCATACTACAGAAACTCAATCAAGAAAGACAAAGAAGAGACTACTCCTCCGAGATATCCATCGGCGCTAGCCCGGATCCCTCAACTCTGCTGTGATGAAATATGTTAAAATACATACAGAATCACTTTGCATTTGAGGAGACTCTGCCCGGACACTTACTGACTCAATGTTCTAGGCCAAGAAATCCATTCACCCGACAATCAGGGACACTTGGTGAATGGAAACTGGTTGGAATTCTAGCCTGGGGACATAAAATCCCTATAAAAACCCAGGCCAAAGAACCCTCAGACGTGGATTTGGGAACACCTATACCTTGCGTATAGACCCTGTCCACCCAGCGCTGCGCTGTCCATTTATTGTGGTTTTTCCTTGCTGTTCGTTGCTTTATTAATTTATAATAAATTTATCTTTGTTAATCTTTAATCTGCTGTTGCATTTATAACAATGAGCAGTAGAGCCTTACAGAAGTCCCACTGAAAATAATGAGATTTCTTTTGTGCCACATTATCAGGCATATACTGAAACATTTTGTTTCGTTAGCTCAGGCCAAAGGGTTCCATACATGCCAAAATGCTGGATTAGTGAGAGAAGTGCTGTGCATGTAAGGTAACAATTAGCAAAGGCATACAAAGATCCTCACAAGATGCATAGACATTGTAATATTGCAAAATCAATGGACTCCAACAAAGTGAATATTTTAAAATACGCACAAATCAAGTCATGGGCTAATCTCTCAGGAAGAAATTTTTTATTCTGTGAAACTTTATCTGGTTTGGTTTTTTTTTGGTTTCCCCATGTACTTTTTGCCTTGTTTTTAATGATAATATGCATTTGGTCCTCAATTATTCCACCAAATGTCATCTATAAAATATAAAACCAGAAGATGTGATAGCATCTTTGATATTTGGTCTTGGACAAATTACATCCTTTTATGGTATCCTTTACAATGCACATAGGTAATATATGAAGAAGGAGACAGCAGAAATCTGTAAGTTTGAAAGGTGATTTGCACTCCTCATGCAAGGAAACAGCAATAAAAATTGGAGATTTATGATACAATTTACTCCTTCATTAAGCAGCAGACATTGTGTGTGTCAGCCAACAGCTATAAGGGTTTCAGTTATCAGTTCTGCCAAGTGTCTCATTAAAAACTGAGAAAAGAAACAGCAGTCTAACTTAAGCTCAACCGGCTACTTTTCCAAGTGAAGCATGCTGCCACATTTTTACAAATTAGACTGTATCCATTTGGATGCCTGTGCAACTACCGAACATTTCACAAAAATTTTAGAACTATCACATCATGAAAAACCTGTTAAGTCAGTTGTGCATGCTATGCAAGGAAGTAGAATGCTTGATATTTTCTTCACCTACAGAGTCTCTTCTTTCTTGAGAAAGGTGTGATATTTGACACATCTTTTGGGGAAGATTCAATCAAGTATGCATTGTTCTCTGCCACAGCCTCACAGCTGACTTACACAGTCCATATTCTGTCTAACTTCTGAGTCACAGATGACCTTGCATGCAATCAACTTTTATTACTTTCTGTCAGATAGCTGGGTTGATATATAACTCTATTTCTATAAACAGGCTATTTCCTCAGCAGGTATCTGAATTTTATCAAATCTATCATTTATCAAATGAAGCTCTTCATAGACACTTGCTTTTCTGGGTTTAAGAGCAGTTTGTACTTGAAAGAGACGATCACAAATTTTTCCCTGAAAATAGTATGCATTATTGCACCTAAATTCTTACATGATACCACAATTTCATATGAACACACTCAAGTTGCATTTGTATTGCAAATTTATGCATACAAAGTAAGCATTTGCACAAGTAAAATAAATAAAAGATTGCACAAATTTGAGGGGTTTTCGCACAACTTAATCTAATTCTCTATATTTAAATATCTAGGCTCTCACAACCCAAATATAAAGGACTTTATGTCAGCTTTAAAATCTGGGACATTTATCATGAACATTTTGTGCAATGCAAGAGAAAGGAGATATGGAGCCACCACAAGTTCATTTTTCACATTATCAGGGCTTGGAAAAGTTAAGCACTTCATACTGGTGAAACACAAAGCTGGCATATGATTGCCTCTGGGTTATGGCTGAGAATGTCTAGGGACCTGAAACCTTCCTGACCGCTGTGAGACTTCACTGATATAATTCTAAATCTCACAAAATTAAGAACAACAAGGAGAGTCTAATGCACAGCTGAGTTTCCAACTTTCAAAATATCAATCTAACCACCATGGTTTCACCATGGCTAGTACATTCACTTTCTTTAGGGTGTGCATTGAGATAGACATCAGTGAGAAAAGTATATGTGGTAATGTTTGGGGTTAAGTGTCCTTCCTTTTGCTCTGGCTCACCTATCGAATTTTTACCCATTAGTTTCGGGGAAAGCTTTTTTGCTGGTACTTCGTGGGTGCTTGAGAAACACAAAGAATTTGTCTGGACCCGGGGGGGAAGGGGGCCAGGAAAAAGAGAGGCCGGGGGCAGCTGGGGGCTGGCTGGTTTCTTCAGCTTCAGAGGAGGACACTTTGCTGGGAGTTGTTGCGGCGGAGAGAAGGGAACTCACCATCACCCAGACGGAGCTGCTGCTTCTTCTTCGTCTCCTTCTTCCTTCTTCGTTGGTGGGCCTCGCACCCCCTGTCCTGCCGGGACGTGTGGCAGTGCCAGCCACCGCCGCGGAGCTGCTGATCCACCTCAGCCACCAGCCCAGGATCTCAGCTCATCCCTGCTGTTCCAGCCGAACTGTTCCTCAGAGCCCTGCAGGAGCACCGGGACTGCCCGCCCGAGGGGTTTGTGAAACAAAGCCTCTCCTCCATCCTTTCCTGGCTCGGCCGAGAAGGCTGTCATGGGGTCCCTGATTCTGTTTTACTGTTAAAGCTGTAGTTGTTGTTGTTTGTTTGCCTTGTTATACACACTATTAAAGAAGTCATATTCCTATTCCCAGATCTCTGCCTGAGAGCCCCTTGATTTCAAAATTATAGTAATTCAGAGGGAGGGGGTCTACATTTTCCTTCCAAGGGAGGCTCCTGCCCTCCCTAGCAGACACCTGTCTTCCAAACCAGGACAATATGCAAAACTGAATTTTGACAGAATTGTATCTGCAGGAGGCAAAACAACTCTGTCAAATCAAAGCTTCTCTCCTCAAAAAATATAATTGTATCATGATAACAGGCTTCAGTAAGACACTGGAGCCGCATGCTCTGCTGTCTTGATTTTTGGATAAATAAATCTGTTGACTGTTGGTTGAATGAATCTTTGGGACACGCAAGAGTGTACAACTAGAACACAATGATTCAACATTCAGGCATTTCTAATCAACACTTTGAAACTTTAAACACTTAATTAATAGTTAGCAAACATTATAATTGAAACTTACAGTGCTCTCAAGCACCTAGCTACCACACTTTGTACCTCACAGATACCAACCCTGCAGTTAATTCAGCTGCTTGCAGCCATCACTGGAGTTGATATGGAGGCCACAAGTAGTGCTCAGGAGGTTCTGACTCATGGTGCAGCTTCATGTCATGATGACACTTTGAAGAGCAAGTTGTGACTGAAAGGAAAAACCTGCTCCTCATCTCCCCCATTCTCTTGTTGCCTGTCTTACACTACATTTAGCAATCATGCAAGCACACAGCCAAGCCATGCGATGCTCTCTGTCAGAGGCCCTGAACCTACTGCACACAAGTGGGGATCCTGCCTCTCAGGGAGACTGACCTCACTGGACATGCCATGCAGCATGTACTCTACAGCAGCAGGAAGTCCTGGTAGTATGTCAGACTGGTTCACACGAGTGGCATAAGGAATGGGCAGATGTTGCATCCAGAGCCTCATGAGCCTTTAGGATGGCCCCCTTACCTATGAAATGTTCTGCTAGAAAGAATTCATCTCATGCATAAGGCTGACAGGATATCTTTAATACAGGATTCTTAGTAAAAAGTTTCCTTTTTGCCTTCCTGCCTTTAAGATTGTTGAGTTATCACAGAAATGCCACCATGTTTAACCAACCTTCTGCTGCTATCTGATCTTTTTCACAATAAGGGTAATTAGTATCTAACCATAATCATTACTTTTCATGAAACATGACTGGGTGTTTTACTTACTTTTTCAGAGAAAGTATTTAAAGATATATTTTGTTCACTGAAGAATGAATTTATTTTTAATTTTGTCACATGTAGTAATATTCTTATATCCAGAAGTCAGAATTCACTGTAAACAGAGGAACAGTCAGTGTTCTAAAATTTAGCTCGTAATTATAGATTGGTAATTGCATATCTAATAGTAAGGTTGTAATTAGGATCACCCCCACAGTCCAGGTTAGTCTTAGCTCTGAGGTTACAGGCAATTCAGTGGCTCAACCAAACATTATAATACTTAACCACTTGTTTTTCATTGCTGACTCTATTACTTGAAATACAATCATTAAATAAGGACTATGCATACTTGGTCATCTGCATGCAAATAAGATCACTATTTTCAAGCTTCTCTGATAGAATTACCTTGCCCTCCTTCCAACTATACACCTCCAGCTATCAATTTTAATTTTTATGGGGGTTGTACATTTTCAGACCTTCCTGAGGCTTTTGGGAAGAACCTGCTTTATTTACACAGTGGCTGCTGTGACTGGGCTGTTGGACAGAATGGTCCCAGGCTGTCGAAGACTGTTCCCCTATCCCAAGCAGTGGGCACTGCCACCTCTCCCATCCACACTGCTATGTAAACAAAGGGCAAAGCACTGAAAACCTGCTGAGACCTCTGATCTCCTGGCTCACAGGAGCCCCTAATCCTGCTAATCTTCAGCTGCTCATGCCTTCTGCATTCCCCATATCTCCATGCTCCTGAAAATCATCCATATGTCTCCAGCTTTTCAAATTATTGTTCCAGTTCTTCCACGTTTGCTTCCTTATTTGTGGCAACTGCTTCACTCATCATCCCTCTGCTTTTCCTACTCCATCATATGCCCCATGTGTCTGCCATACCACCTCCCTTTCTCCCTTTCTTCTCCTTTACTCTCTTTCACATCAATATACTTGAGCACCATTGCAGCTTTTCATACATCCAAACTTCCTTTCTCCTTCCATTCTCCATGATTCTCTGCCCGGATAAGGTCTCACTTTATCCTTTTCCATGCATGTGTCACTGGCAAATTGATTTCAGTGCTTCTTTCTCTCAGAGTACTGCTTTGGAACCTGACTGGACTCCTCCTCTCCTCTTCTGGCTTCAGAACTCACCATAAAGAGTGCTAGAAAAAAGATAAATTAAAAAAGTTCATACTGGTAAACATAAAAAAATTAAAACACTCCTATCCACATCACAGAAGGCAAAGCATTAAGTTCCACAGGCATACAAGCCACACAATAGCATCTTCTTCAAGGTTAACTTTTTATGCATGTTTACAACAAAGTCCTTCTGAAAAAAAAAAAAAAAAAGTTAATTTAGATATCATTCCAACACAGTACAATGTATAAGCACAATTTAGATAGTTGAGATGTTGATGGCAACAGCCTCTGACCTTTGAAAAGTTCTTGTAAAAAGGCCTTTGATCAACACACTTTATAGTGGACTGTAATGACTCCATAACTGCACAGTGGTTTCTAGAACCAGACTTTACATCTTTGAGGAGGAAACAGAAAAGTGAAGGACAGAAGAGCAAAGTTCAAGTCATCTAAGCTATTTAACTGAGTAACTGAAATATTTTATCAACAGGGGGCTCAATTTCCAGGCCATCTCTGAACTTGGTTTTGTGTTTTGTTATTTGACAGCTGTAGTATCTTACAGCTGTCCCTGGAGGGTTTGTGCGTCTTTTTTCTCACTCTTAAATCAACAATATCTGTTGTCAGCCTAAGCTCCAGCTCAGATTCTGCGCCTGCTCCACTTCAAATACTACCGGGGATTAATTAGGCTCATTTTCTATACTCTCCTGATGCTGAATTGCAGGTATTGCTCAACCACATAGCATGAAGATGCTTGTTTTGAGAAAGAGCGAACCAAGGCTTTGCCAGCATGTCCAGCTTATGTAACCAGTGAGCTGGCCTGAAGGATTTCATTTGAGTGAGTGGAGTTTGGTCTCCAGTTTTTTTATTTGTAATGATGGTTTTAATTCAATTTGTGACTTTGTTACCTGGCTCTCAAAGAGATATGGACAAGGCAGATAGAGCACTGAGAAAAGTAATGTACTCAGTCGCATCCCTGCCCGTGGTAGGGGGGACTGGAACTAGATGACCTTTAAGTTCTCTTCCAAACCAAACCATTTCCTGACTCCGTAACTGTATGATAATATTCAGTCCTCATAATTTACAGAACTCTTTGTTTTTTCACTTATTCTGAAAATGTATTGTGGTATGAAAATGCAACGTACATTAACAAGATTTGATTGATGGAAACTGGAGCTAATCTGGGTCAGAAATGAAGGATTACCAGGCTTAAGGATGGGAACACCCTCACAACAGCCACGCGTGTGGTGCCACTAACTGCTGCTCTGCTAGAGCACTGTGGAACAGCAAAGGCGTCCCTGAGGAAGTGCTGCTGGTCACAAGCACACCTGTAACTAGCACCCAAAAATGAGCAACAACTAAAGCAAGGATGAGCGGTAACTGAAGCAATAAATACACATCCCAGGAGGAGCTGACGGGTTTTGCACAGAGGGCGAGTGCAGGCGGCCATCGCCTCACACGCCAGTGTCTCCGTGAGAGGGGACGGAGCAGGCAGCCAAACCGGCGGGACCTTAGGTACAGAGGGGAGCAGATAACGCCGGAACAGCCCACACTGGCTCTGAATTCTGCGGCTTCTCGGAGCCTCTCCCGGCACCCCAGCTCCCCCCGTGCGGCCCCTCCAAGACTTTCCCACCGTCCCGTCCCACCGACCCCTCACGGCCGAGCCCCGCCCTCGCTCACCATTGGCCGTCACCAGGGAAGGGGCGGGGCGTGCCGAGGCCGAGCCGGCGCCTGCGCGATGCTCCCCCGCCCCCTCTAGACCGGCTTCCCG